TATGTGATGCAGATGGAAGTGATAAACAAAGAGACAAACATGAGAACAATGATTAAAACACATTGATTCACAAATAATATCGTAAATTTAAGAATTAATTATTCGTGATTCACGCACGAATATTGAATAATTGATCTTGATCAAAAAATTATTGACTTTGAATAATACCAATATCGAACATAAAAGGATTACAATATTAAAAGTTCTGTATTTTTATTCAATAAACAACCAAGTAAATGAAGACCTATTTCTTGTTTAATACTAAAAATTCTGCATAAGACCCTAACAACTAAAATGACGAAACCACGCCTAGATAAGTTTCTAATTAAATAGTAAAATAACATGAAGAAAATAAATAAAATAAAGTCATTAAACAATAAGCTTAAATTATTCCAATTCTGTATCGCACCAATATGGTACATGTTTCGGACATTGATTATTAGAAAAGTGGGAACAAAGGTTTCCATCGATTAAATATGTGATAAGCGATGGGTTTATTAGGAATTGAGTTACTCCACCTTATATTATAAACTTTCTAGGATGAAACATCAATTCCATACACCTTTTACAACCAAGAGTCATCCCAATCATGATGAAGCACTCATCTACATAAGGTACAATTGTTGAAATATAGATGTTTAAAAATCATAAAAATAATTTTTTTATTTTATTTTTATTTTTTTTATACTTATATTGGATTTAAGCAGCTATATCCCGAATGCATGCATTGTTAATTTTGATTTTGATTTTGATTTGCTAATTGGTCAATACAAACTTTCAATCCTTGATCTTGAACCATCGTGCCTCAAGTTCCAAGTCTTATTTGATGTTCTCCAAAGTATTGATTATGCTCATGAGTGAGGGCCAAGAAACTTAAAAACTTCATGAGACTGAATCGAGAAGACTGAAATCAAAAAAGAGGAATAATAAGACATATTCGGTAGTAATTATGAGAATTGATTTTTTGACTGTCAAAGAAAAAAGTAAGTCCCACCTGTGAGAGAAAAAGTTAAAAATGACAGTTAGAATAGTGAAATAACGAAAAAAAAAATTTTGGAGTGAATAATTACTACCAAACGGGAGCTAAATGTATTTTCTCTCACTCACTTCAGGCATCGACCATGGCATTATCTTATACAATGGTCGACCATCCCTATGTCTTATAGACCAACCTAGGGTTTCAGTATCTTTTTCATGTTGTCTATGTAGTTATGTGACTTTTTGCAGGTGTAGTATTTGAGCTTTTACCGTCGAGCATTTAAGTCCATAACTTTTACCACTAGTGCATGCAATTAAGTCGCTAATTCATTACGGATTTAGGTAAGTCATAGGACAGACACATAGATTTTAATTTTTTGCATGACCATACTGTAGAATTAAGCCCCCGTTTGACCCCCATTCTTTCTAAACTTTAATGGTTGAAATAGTTTTTTCTTAAAAATGTGTGGTTGAAAAGAAACGAAAAGTTTTTGATATGTGTGTAATATTATTTTATAGAAGAGTATGTGGTTAAAAATAAGAGAGAAAGAGGGCCAAACGGGAGCTAAATTTCATATATTGCTCATATTCAGTATACTTCCAACTATACTAGTATCACTGCTCAAGAAATTCATTTGCCACGGTTACGACAAAATTAACAAGTGATACTACTCACGAATCCATTGTGACATTTAAAAAAAAAAAAAAAAAAACCATCAACCTTTAATCATGGGTCTTGGATAACATAATTCTCGATCGAAATACTAGTGTCTGTTATGCAAGTATCCAATTTGTATTATCACAAAGTAATCAAAAGTACTTACTCTCTGGCTCAATCACATAAATAACAATATATAATTCTAATACTATTGAACATATCACAACACAATGTTTGAAGAATGACGATATGTCATTTTATTTCCTTGATATATTTTTATTTCTATCAAACCAAAATTTGTGTCATATCATTGACCTTCGGCAAGATAAAAAGTCTAGTTGAACGCAACTATCGAGAGACCACATATTTGATGGCACGTTTAAGCAAGAGTGGAGCTGTAATAATGATGAGGAAGATTGTATATTTTTCAATTGTATGAATATATATTGAGATTTGGAGATTTACCTATCTCACAAAGTTCTATGGGCGGGACAGTGAGATCCCTCAAAATTGGGGTTCAACATTATATATATATATATAGAGAGAGAGAGAGAGAGAGAGAGAGAGAGATTTGGAGCTCCATGAAAAGTGAAGCAATTAATATATTAGTGAGTTGTTACACCCTAAGAATAGTTGGCGTATATGGCTAACTCATATGGACTACGTGGATTCTTCTAGGTTATGTATTGTGCTCAGATCGAATCACTCTATACATGACCTCAAGGGAAGCATTGATTGAGCGAAAACCCAACTATTGGATCCAAGAAATATGTTCGCTCAAGACTATGCACCTCAGAGATAAAATGAGCGAAGGTTTAGCCCTTGTTTGAGCCCCATTTTTTAAAATTTCATTTTTTCAAAATTCATTTTTAAATAAAATAGAGTTATTCTAGGAGTACAAAAAGGGGGACATAAGGGTATCCAAAATGGATACTCGGCGCCCTTCTATTTGAGAGGAGCCTGTGTTGCACGATAGGGGACACTGAGTGTCCATTTTGGACACTCTTATGTAAGAGGTTATTTACCCCTAAAATAATTTATAAAATAATATTATGTACAAATCCAAAAATTTTTCTCAATTTTTTATCACACATTATCCATCAATCAACTATTCAAAATACGTTTTTTTCCTCAAATGGGCCTCAAACAAGGGTTTAGTCATTGCCTTGAAGGCAGCATGTCTCCGCTTTGAGGTCAACGCTTCATATGCCCACGAATCACAACTTTTGATAAAACAGCTTAGGCTAAAGTGTGGCTTATAAGTCATCATGGCATTGTTAGTGCAGCCCTTCCCCGCCAATCATAGTCTCTCTCACACTTAAGTGGTATATAGACGAATGGAAGGACACTGTGGCTCGATTTGATCAACGCGGCCACCTACCTTTTCCTCTTACACGAGGGAGTCATTTTCTTACTTTTTGGGTAATCATATTAGAAAAATACACTTCGGCCCATGTTATTCCCGTCTTTATTCCGACTTCTCTAGATATCGATCATTGCCAATTCCAACCAAAAATCGGATTAGTGTACAATTTTATCTTACACTTTATGAGCAAATTCAATAAATCTAACCAAAGTTGAACAAATGTGCCACGTTACATTTTTGTCAACAGTATAAACATGACAGTGGTGTAAAAACTCATTCTATTCTATATGTTTTTCGTGTATAATTTAATTGTATAGGATAGATTCACTTAAAGCTGGATAACCAACATTGGGTTTTACTCATATGATGTGCTAACACTAGATTTCAGGGACTTAATTGAAATAAAAATGTTAGTTTAATGATCATGTTAGAAACCAAATGAAGTTGGGAAGTCAAAATGAAAACTTGGTTGACCAAAAGTATTTTTGAACCTAAAAATAAATGATTTTCTTCTGTGTAATCTAGTTAAAATATTTAGTCCGTGCTTTAAAAAGGGTTTGAATCTAGGATTAGATTGTGTAAAGTAGTTTTAAGGAGTCTGCTTTATAAGTGGATGTGGTCCATAGTCCTGTCTGAGTGCCCAGTGGCATGATTGGCGGTGAAAATGTGTCTGCTCTGACATGGGCTAACACAGGGCTAGCAAATATGCATGTCATCAGTCATTTCGAATATGTGATGAGAATGGGGAAGTTATGGGTGTCCATTTGTGAACAAGAAAAAAAAGGCAGTTTTGAGGTAACACAAATCTCTAAAGAATCTTTCATACTACTTTATTTTTATTTTTTGAACAAGTGGAGGAAGGATCCATGAGAGGAATACAGTAATAAAGACACTGATTTATGGTGTCTTGGTGGACTTGCACTTGCTAACTCTTTCTTTGCCTTTTCTTGCACTGTCTTGTAGTGATTGCTTTTTCTATTCATCTCCAGTAGTTTGATGAGCCCAACAAAAATAGTTTTATGTCTGTTATTTGCTTTTTTCCTCACTCCCTCTCTCTCTCCCTCCCTCCCCCTCCAATGATCTTATCTTCATCGACTTCTCATTATCCTCTCTCCATATTCATGCCTCCTCTTCTCTCTTTTTCTCTCTCCAGTACTTGTTATCCTCTCTTCTCCATTTTTGGTAAAAACTAGAATTCCCACAAGTCTGTCTTGTCACCACTGAGGCTAAGGCCTGCAGTTTAAAGGTACTACTGAGGGGAATTCAACAAAACTTTTACTTTTTCAAGCTATAGCTTGTACGCTTATTCTTGTATGCTTTTCAAGTACTATTGGTTTTGCTTTACTGCTAATGATGAATGTCCACTGTAGATTCTTATGACTTTTGCCAAGTTTCAGATGGGTTTTCACGTTGCGTGTATTTCTTGATTGATTTTTTCAAGTCATAATCTTGGGAATTTTTTTGGGTGACTTCAAGTTCAATTAATCGTTTGTTTAATCTTGCTCCCCATATGGGGATTGTTTGGGGATGTTAATAAAGTAAAAATAGATAATATATATAGGGTTAGTAAGAATTTTGCTGCTCCTCCTTTGTGACTTCTTTTAGTAAGTGCACAAAGCCACAATAAATACTGCATCTGTTGTCATTTTACCTGCTGTTAAAGTAGAAAAGTATGAGCCTGCTTCATTTTTCCCCTTATATTTAGGAAAATAATAGACCAAACAGGCAAAGACTACATTCTGCTAATATGTTTTCTCCCATCCTCTTTACTTGTTCTTTATGAATCAAATATGTATCAGAACTTTGAAGCTTTCTTGGAACAAAATTCTGATATTTTATACTTTCAATTTCATTCAAGTTATCGTTTTCAACTATAATCTCGATCCCTCAATGGAAATTTTCTACGAGGATGGTGCATGAGTCATGCCTTAGATGAAAAATGAATATGATCTTCATATGACGGGGCATTTTAAATAAGTTTGAGATAGCACATCTGCATTTTTATTAATTCCTTTTTATAAGTTATTGGGAACATGGAAATAGTTTCAATCATAAGAATTGTTCATAA